AATAATAAATATAAAAATGAGGATATTACAATATTGATATCACGAACCTTTTTTATAAAGAGTTAATAACATTTTCGCTTATCTTTCTTAATTCATTTATTTAATTTATAAAGCATTATATATATATATATATATACACACATGTAAAGGAGTATAATTTTTTTAAAAATTTGAACTACAACATTCAAATAAACAAATAACAAGCCTCCTAAGTTTTTATATATAATATTCCTTTACATAAACTTCCACATTTTAGTTTAGAACCTTAGGTGATCTAAAATAGGACTCAAAGAGAATATTTTTTCTTATCTCCTCTTTTTAAAATCATATGAATAATTAGTATCTTAAAATTTTAAAATAAAAAAAAGTTTTGCTATATTTTGAAATAATGTGATTCTCTATGTTAATTTTTCTTACATCATTATTATTTTACATATCAGTGCATATTAATTATTTGAAAATCATACTTATTGTCATTCTTGGGACGTTTATTATAACTTTTAAATTGATTTTAAAATAAAGTTAAGGATAACGATTTACATATTTTTTACATCATTACATTGTCACATAAAACATTATCCTTTTAAATATTAATTTAAATTTATCGAAAAGTAAAAATAATTAAGACAAATAAAAAAATTAAATCTATTAAAATGCTCACCAATATATTATTAGAATACAATGGTAGTATTTGTTTCACAAATGAAGCTATAACGATGACGAACGGATCCGGAATCCCTCCATTTTTAGCACCAACTGCATTATCCAGTAAGTATAATTTTTATATTTTTATTTAAGTAAATATTTTTTACTTAAACGAAAATACAAAATACATTAACTGGACCCTGCAATTACGGGAAGGAATCTTTCTCCATGACGGTCAACAACAAAGAGATGGGGAAGAAAAAGATTTAGTAACATAATTTTTTATAAATAGATAAATGTTTAATAACATAATTTTATAGTGAATTAAGAGTGTAAAAAAGATTTAGTAATTAATACATTTAACAATAAGTCTGTTTTTTATAATTAGGACAAAAAAAATTGGTTAATGTTTTTTATAAATAAGACTAGAAGTAGTATTTTTAATGCAACCCTGATTCAATTATAATTAAATTATTAACTTTAATATTTGACTAATTTAATAAATAGTTCAATTTTTAAAAATAAAACTTAAATGAAATGTTATAGTTATTGTTAGTATTATTTTTTAATTAAAATTAAAATTTATACAAATTTAACATTGTGTTAACCTTTAATATTTATATTTATTATATAAATTATGAAGATAAAAATTTATTTCTATTAAAAATATTTATAATATTATCCTTGATTATTTTCTTTTTAAAAACTGTGAATAAAGTAAGAGTTTTCTTACTTTATACATTAGCATGTGAGATTTATTAAATCTTCTCCAGAAACAGACAAATCCTTTTGACTAACCTTATCTGCAGGTCAACTATACACCATTTTATTTAACCTTTTTCCCTTCACTTAATAATACTATTTCGTTATTATCCCGAATAATTGTAAACGTTTTTATAATATATTTTAATTATTAAATAAAAATATTTAATATATTTTATATGTAAATATTAATGCATTTATCTTTCTAAACTCTTTTATGAAATATTAAAAATGTATAAGATAAAATATATAACATTACAATATTCCCTACTTTTGACTTTTTAAGCCATAAGCCTTTTATAATATACATTTTATATTGGTGAAAGCGAGACAAAATATGATAAACATTAAAATTTTTCTTATATGTCTTATTTTTATATATTTAAGTTTAATAAATATTAAATATTAAATTTTAATATTAATAAATTCAATTATTTATTTAAGTTAAAATTTGATTTTATATATATATAAATTATTATTTATTTATATTTTTTATTCTTGTCAACGGTGGCATGCACTGTGACGTTCAAATTCTCATTAACTTTATATTTTACAATGAAAAATTATATTTTTATAACAAAAATAAGTTTTTCTTAGTTACAACTACTAAATAAAAAATAAAAAGAAAAGAGAAAAAACGAAAATGATTAGATAAGTGCTATCATTATAAGAAATAGCGAAAAAATTTATTATTATAAAAATTTATTGTAAACATTTAAAGTGTGTTAATTAGAGGTATAGGTTAAGAAATATTAAGTATATTTTATTAATTATTTTAAATTATTATTAAAAATATATTTAAAATATTTTTTATAGTATTGAGATAAAAACGTTTTTATTTTTAACAAAAAAACATTTTATTTTTTAGTTTTTATAATTAAAAGTTAAAAATTATGATATTTTTTCAAATTAAAAGGTCCCAAAATTAATTTTTCTCACGATACATGTATCTTTGAATACACATTAAAAAAATAGTATACTAACAAAACTTAATTAAAATATAATAAATACTTATAATATAATTATTCAAATAAAAAAAGAATTTCAACTTTTTAATAATTTATGTAATAAATATTAATATTAAAAGTTGACAGACTTTATTGAATTAAAATTAAAATTTTAATCAATAAATAATATAAAATATATTTATAATGCTTTACTTAAACTTTTCCTTAACATGTCTCTTTTATAACGTTAGTCATTTAAACACTTTAACTTGGATTATGTATGGTCTTGCTTTTTCTTTTATTTAATTACAATACATTGTGTGGTATTGTAATTTTTTTTTTATTTCATTATTATTATTATTATTATTATTATTCATGGAATCATGATTTATCATAATTAAATTATTAACCTTAAACTAATATTTAACCAATTTAATTATAAAAAAAGATAAAACTTAAATGTAATATTATAATTATTGTCGTTATTCTTTTCTAATTAAAATTAAAGTTTCAGAGTATTTGTGCTAACCTTTAATATTTATATTATTATATAATTTATTAGGATAAAACTTTATTTTTATTAAAAAAACACAAAAAATACTCATACTATTATATTTAATATATTTCTTTTTAAAAACTGTGAATAAAGTAAGTGTTTTCTTTTTAACTGTCAGCAGAGGATAAGAGTTGTATAGGCAATTCTTCAGCATGTGACAGGTGTTAACTCCTCTCCACAAAAATACAAATCTTTGGACTTAACCTTATCTGCAGGTCAACTTATACACCATTTTACTTAATCTTTTACCCTTAATAACTGTAAACGTGTTTATAATATATTTTTATATTCAAATATCAATACATATATCTTTCTAGATTCTTTTATGAAATATTAAAACTATAATAAAAATTATAAAAGATATAACATTACAATATTCCCTACTTTTGGGCTTTCTAAGCGTAAGCCTGCAAGCCTACTCTGTTCCTTTCTGATTATAATATACGTTTTTAAGTTTTGCAGTCTAAAACCATAGAAAGTGTCTGCAATTCTGCCACTTTTCACTGCGTTGTTGACCTTCAATTTTAAATTCATTGTTGGGGAGTTATCCATACAAGTGTTGGAGAATGATAAATATTTGATTTTATTAAATAGAAAACAATTTAATCAATAAATTATCAACTTATTTTTACCTTTTAAATTAATAATATTTACATTTTTAAAGTTATGACAAGAGAAAATTGTTAAAGTGATTGAAGATTGACAACACTTGACAGTGTCTTACCTGAAAAAATCTGATGACAGAAACTGAAACGTTAATCTTACAATGTTGGACAAATTTGTATTGTATTGGTGAGTGGCACGGGTTCAGATGCGGGAACAGAGAAAACAGAGAGTCACATGCGAATGCACAAAGCACAATGATCCCTATGGGAACGCGTGTGGGGTAAAAAAAGGTAAACCCATTCATTCACGAGCATTGGCAATAGGGTCATTCATTCCACTTCCCCAAGAAAGAAGCAACCACCTTTCGTCCTTTTCCTCTGCATTCATCAAAGTTTAACACACATTTTTAAATGCAATCTAAAACAGGTTTGTAAAACTAATTTTTATTCAAATTAATTGACATGATTTTGGAATAAAGAAATTAACTATTAACTTTTAAGTCTTGTTTAATTTATGTTGAGAATTATTCTTTATTATATATATATATATAGTACTATGAATATAAAATTTATTTCAAATATATGTTGTAATTGTATTTAGTAATTTAAAATTATTTTTATTAAAATATAATAAATGAAAATTTAATGATTAAAAATGACAACTATTGATTAGTTGAAGTTATGAAAGTGTTGATTTACTCTTTAAAATTATTCAATGCTTGTTAATTTAGTTCAGAATGTTATTAAAAAAAAAGGTAATTTTAATTTTTAAAATTATAAAACTAGGGTCTTAAAACATTCATTTCAACAAATAAATCAAATAATATTTATAATTTCAAAAATTAATTAAAGGATGTATTTTGATTCATTTTAATGTAAAATTCACGTAACGATCAATTAAAATATATAATTTTTAAAAATAAATACTATAAAAATGAATATAACAACACAAGATTCATTGTATGTCAATTAAATCCTTAATTTAACATAAAACAAAACTTAAATTAAATTATTTGATCTTTATCGTTAAATTATTTAATTAAACAATGACACAGATATTCATTTAGCATTTCGTTACACACATTTAATACAGAAAACATTTTTTATTATTAAAAAATAGCATCTACCTATCATTATCTCAACTAAAAACTTGATGACAAACACATAAAAGAATTTGTCTTAAATTTTTTTTCCCCATTGGTATAGTACACAGAAGAAAACAATGAACGTATATGGCTCTCATATTTCCTTTTCACCATACTCATTGATTCTCATACCTTACCTATTTGTCCCTCTGCTTAGTACTTTGAAACTTCGTTATCGTGGTTCCTTTCTTTTTACCAATACTGGTTATTTTGCTTTTCATCTCCATCCCCTATCAACTCTACTTTACTCTCTCCTACCCCTTTTTCTTTCGTTCTTTCTACCTCACACACGCTCACATTCTTCTCTTTTTAAATTGGTTGCACCCCATCACTGAAAGAAGCATAGGAAAAAGCCTATTCCTTTCAAAACTCTTGGTCAATTATCATCGTCCACATTCTACACTCAACGTACTCTTTGTTCAGCTTCAATGGAAGTGAGTGTTTTCTTTTGTTACTACTTCAATCTTATGCTATATATTTAAGCTTTTTGAGACTTTTTTTCTTAAGTAAGTGATTATCTCTTTGAATTCAAGTCGAATGATTATCATGTGCATTGATATAGGAGTATTACTACAAGAGGCATCATGTGCCAGCATTTGGAAGCTGGGATTGGAATGATAATCTTCCATTCACGCAGTGCTTTGAATCTGCAAGACAAGCTGGTATTTTACGCTATAGTAGTTACTCTGAGTCTGAAGATAGAGACCTTTATGTTACTGGGGACTTGTATGAGAATGATGTTGTCACACCCGCCATGATCGTTGTTCCTCGCAGAAGGGTATGTATTTATGCCACTAAATCTCTACCTCTTTTTCTTCTTTTGGGTCTTGAGGATATTTTCAAAAGTCTTGATTAATTTTAGTGAAGTTGATTGAACTCTCTCTTAAAGATCAATTTTTCACGATAAATATTGGTGATATCTATAACATGATCGTATATAATCTTTGTATTATTCACTAAAATTTCTTGAGAGTTAAAATGATGGAGATTTTTCTTCTTGTTTGATATGGATAGATATGACATATTTCTATCTTTCTTCCTCTCCCTTTCTCTGTTTAGGATATATATATTTTTAGTAATAAATGAATAGATGTTGTTTTTATTTACTATGTTAACTCTTCTAGCATCAAGACAATATTTTATGAAAATAGTATATAAATTTTATAACTTATTTTAATAAATTATTTATCATTAGAACGATGTTTTTGTTTTTTATAAAAATTATGACCAAATTTATAGTATAAGTTTTTGTATGATAAAATTTTATTATTAAAATCTATTTTTTTACTCTTACTTTTCTCTATGTTATTTAGTACATCACATGTTTATATTTATTATTTCCCCCCCTTCTTTTACTTTAAATCATGAGTTTCTATATCTTTGCGTGTGAATAATTAATTTTCTTTTTGGTTTTCGGGCATGAGCTTGGGAGTTTACTTGAGTTTTTCAATTTTTATTTGGCAAAACGAAGAATGGTACCTAAAAAGGTGAAAATAAATAAACGAGAAAACGAAGTTCCAATGTTCCATGCATACATAAATAATCATATCCTAATAGTGTTAGGTCGTGAGTGTTGAAAAAGAAAAAAACTTTGCCTTTGTTTGTCATTGCTTTCTCTATATGGTCGGTCACACTTTATGGTGGGGTCTCTTACATTGAAAAACGTTCATGATTCACGCCACAGCGTGAGATGTTAAAACAAGAGCTTTTTCACGAGAACAACAGAGAGCTTGTGATGTTGTTTAGCTCATAATGATTTAGAATATTAAATATTTTTATAATAAACTATGATTACATTAACGACTTTGTGCAATGAGTGTAACTTTTGGCTTTGTTGTCCCTTTCATTTGGTCACTAAAAACACAGACAATGGGATCTATCGGTATCATAACAAGGTAGTAAAGTAATCAAAGTTGACTCCAATAACAACAAAGCCTCACATAAATAATTAGTAAATTGTTTGGTCTTTAAACAAGAATAATCTTTAGCTGTTGATTATACTGTATTAAAAATTTGTTAATTATAACAATGAATTAAATTTTTTTTAAAAACTTTCATTATAATTTTTTTTATAAAATGATTTAAATATTTTTTATGCTTTTTTACTTAATGTAAATAAATTTACTTCTGTCCTCCCAACTTCCTTTCAATTTTGGGAATTCTTAATGTGGATTCCACAAAAATAAAATTAAAAATCCATCCTCCTTCATTGATACACCCAAACATCTCTTCTACCTCTCTCCATTCTCTTTTTCCAAAGAGAGCAATATATCAAACATGTAGGCTCAGTATGGTAAGAAGGAATAGAGAAAAGCTAGGAAAGAATTGGTGTTTAGAGACCATTATTTTTCACCTCTTGTTTTTAATTTTTCCTCCTCCAATCATAGTAGGAACTTCAAAGGTAACTTTTTGAAAAGCATTGATTGAATTCTTAATTTGTTGCTGACAATGTAGGAAAAGGTACGTAGCCAGCAGGAAAAAGAAGCAAAAAAGCAGAATTGGGTCAGCAATGTGAAGGAGCTAGCTAGCCCAACTCCAATGCCAAGACCAACACCAAAGCCTGTGGATGAGGACTTGTACAAAATCTCACCAGAGCTTCTTTATGCCAAAACTAGGAAGGTCTTGGCCCCACCCACACCCACCTTTTACTTTTTTCCTCCACTAAACTCACATTTTGGTTCTACTTTTACTTTCATAAATGTCAATTATTCATTGCATATTCAAACCTTGCTTTTTGCATCTTTAGCAAAAGTTTTGCTAAATCCCCTTTTCTACTTTGTTTTTGTTTAATGCAGAAGAGAGGGTTGTGTTTCTTTTCAAGCTGCTTGCTACCAACTTGCATTGCCTGAGATACACGGAAATTTGAGGAGCCAATGTACATATAATTGCAATAGAGAATAGATACTTAATTGGATGATATTTATTTAAAAGCAGTATATTTTAGGACCATGATGATTTTCGTTGTGGGAAGAAGGTCTTGGTTGTTTATTCTTTCACTTTATCGTTTAGTTTTTGTTGGGGTGCTTAAAATTTTTAGTCTTTTATGTACTTTGGGGTGAATCATTGTTAGGACTTGAACTTGGTTGTAAAAGCTTGTAACCAGAATTTTAAAGAAAAAAGGGTCTAAAAAAGTTCTGTTCCTGTCAGCTAATTCCTACGAAAATTATTCTCACTGAACTTAATGTATTGCTCTTCATTCAGACTTTATTTGGATAGAGAAAGAAAATATGGATATAATAAAAATGTATGCCATTTTTATTTAGTTGAAGATTTTTCACTTTTACAAAACAGAATCTAGCTTTTTAAGTTTTAAAATCTTCTCTCGTTTTTCATTTCTTTAACCTAAACATATAGTTAATGGAAATGCAAGGTTGACAAAAAAGAAGAAGAGGGGAATGCAAGTCTTTTGTGATGAATTACAAAGGACTTCATCACAAAAGACTTTACTAGATAAAATCAGATAGCAGGGCCAAATCAAAATAATAGATTACCTTCGATTTTGGTAATGATTATAATCATATGATTATTGGGGGAAGGTCTTGGTTTTTATTCTTTAACTTTACTGTTTAGTTTTAATTTATAAATATTTTAATGATATTAATATTTATTTAATACTCTTTATATTTTCTATCATATATCACTATCACTCATAATAAGTGTTAATACCACAATATTTTCTTTGCTTAAATGTCTGTTTGGAAGTCATTATCAAAGACAGTTTCACATGGCAGATTTTTCTTCCTCTTTTGCTTTGAAAAATTAAAGAGTTATTAGGAGTGTAAGCAGAATTGGATCAACCTGTCGATCTAAATAAATCAACTTAAATTCAGGTCACTATGTTTTACAGAGTTCAAACGTTAAAGTCCTTCAAAGGAATAAAAATATAAAAATAGAGATCATATGTTCTCTTAAAGTGTTACTTTTAGGAAACAAAATGTAAAGTTAAGTAGTCGTTGATAAAAAAATTAATAGTTAAAAGTAATACAATTTATTACACGTGTAGGCGTTTAATTATAAGAATGCTAGTAATATATTTCCTAATACATTTTTTTTATTGTTTGTTAAAATTTATTAAAAATTAAAAAAATATGAAAAAAATATTAATTTAGGAGTGAAACATGACAGAGTGAAACTTACGTAAATTTTGTAATTTTTAATAAATTTTAACTATTAATAAAGAGTAAATTACAAACCGTATGTTACTAATACCACTTTTAATTATAATGTTAATAGTTAAGTTTCCAATTATTAATTACCTCTTGGATGAGTCAAAGTATAAAATAAGAGACCTTATTTTAATAAAATTAATTAATTACTTTTAACAAATTGTTATTATTTATCAAATCATTATTATTATTTTATTTTTAAAAATATATTATTAATAAGTAAAATTATTTGTTTGGAGGCCTAAAGTAGGGATTCACTTGCATGAGCACTGGGTTCCCCTGCTTAAACCAAACAAAAATTATAGATCTAATCAGTTCAAAGATTTAATTTCGTTATAAGAGAATCGATTCAATCTAGTTCAGTTTGATTAAAGGAAGACCAAATTTAATTTAGTTCAATTATTAAAATTCAAGACTCATTCATATACTCATAACTCAACCCAACCTATATACTTTTTTTTACCTTTAAATCTTCCTTTCCTTAATTAATAGACGAACGAAGAGTATCATACAAAGTATCTCTATTAATTAGAAATTTTCATTAGAAAGAAAGTTCCAACTAAACTTACATATTTGCATTTAGATTTTTATGTTAAGGTGAAAGCTAATCTTGGTGATGTTACAGCGATACAACTGATTATTTATTTATTTATTTTGAATGAAATATAAAGTGCTAACCATGCTTGTGACAATTGGTCAGGGTTGTTTGGTTTGAATTTTTATTTAAATATCTGAACTTAAAAAATAAAATATAAATAATGTGACATTTTTATAATTAAAAATAACTTTTTTAAAAAACTAGATAACTCATTAAATTTTGTTAATTAAATATCTTTAAGCTATGATAGTTTTGCTATAAAATAGAGTTTTGATGTCATGCAAGATAACATATCATGCTTATTTTGTTTAAATATATATAAAAAGTATGTATAAAAGGAATAACTTGAGCTTTAAAAACTATGTTTTATAAATTATTATATGGGATTCTTACAACTGGAATAATTTATTTATCATGAAAAAAGCAAGCTAGGTGTCAAAATAATCAAATTAGCTTGGAAATACTCACAATGAAGATAAGCATTAGAGCTACTTTTTAAAATTTTTCAATATTTTGATATCTTAATTCAAACAACTGTGAAACTTTACTCAGTATATTGGTTTTGCGCTCTTTGACTCTGATAGCATGGATGCACTAATGGTATTTGTCATGTATGGCAGGATCCACGTAGAGAGTCTCATTTGGGATAAGTGTGTGGATAGGATAACAAAATATGCTAAACATGCTTTCAACTCTAAAAGCTTTTTTTGCATCCTCTGTGCACATGAATTTTTTACCTTCTCCAAGAGTTTTGTAAGGAAAATGAACACATCAACTACTTTGTAAGCCTAAATTCTAGGAACTTGCTTGCCTAGGCTTAAAAAATTTATTTGGTGAAATTGAGGCAAATGTTGTTTAGGCGGAGTTTCCAAAGAGGCTTCTTTCAAAAAGATTCTCTCTCTTCTTTGGAGTCTTTGACTATCATAACATATTGTTGACACAAAATTTGCAAATTAGTTGATTGAGGGCAATAATCCTTAGTTGATGACTAAAGGAAACCCAATAGATCATTTGATCATCAATTGACTAATAGGTAATTAATTGTAATTAGTTAATTAATTGGATGCAAGCAGTAGTGAATGATGAAAAGATAGTAGGACTTGTTAGTCATTAATAATTATACTCAAGTAGCTTTTAAGAGAGTACTCATGTAACCTTAAATTTAATAGATTTATCTCTTACCAAGTTGAGTAACTACTTTCTTAAAAATAAAATTAAAAATATGGTAAAATGGATTTAAATTAAAGATATTTAAGCATTAATTACCAACATTAACATTCAAATGAGTTATCAAGTCATGGAAGTGTAATTGTACAAAATTGTTGACTCATCAATTCACGTGACACTTTAGAGTTGGTCAATAAGAACATTTTGGTCAAGATTTTAGTTAATTAGGTATTTGTTGACCTCGTGGCTATTTACCACAGTCTTAAAGAATTGTAAACATATCATTCAACATAAAAAAAAATGGTCTAGCATGGAAATGGTTACTAATTAGGTAATGAATATAATCAATTTGCAATTGCAAAATCTTTTCTTCAACACCTAATCAAACACATCTTTAACCTTTATCTTTATTATTATTTTACGATATTGTATTTACTTGTTGCTTATTGTTTTAGTGTAACTATGATCTCATGTGATTTTTAAGTTAACACTTACTTTTTCATATCATAAAGTAACTCTTTTGCCACTACTAGTCATTCTAGACAATATTTAGAGTTGTTTAGGAACTCAGGAAAGAACAAAGTCTCATCCTTAGCACAATTGCCTCACAAAAGAGATTCAACTTGATTTGCTTATGAACTAATTCCAACAACTGATTTATAATGTGTTTAGTTTCATGTTGGAATGCATATGAATTCACATTTATTTCAACATTATTAATTATAACTTTTGTATTAAATTTACATTTTCAAATTTTCTAATATGTTTTCAAACATGTAGTTAGTCTAAGTGTAGCGTGCGCAAACACATTATAAATGATTATATTTAGTTTCATGTTAGAATATATATGAATTCACATCTACTTTTATACCATTAAATGTAACTTTTATATTGGATTTACATTTACAAACTTCCTAACATATTTTCAAACACATTTAGTCTTAAGTATGACACACGTGCACACACTATAAATGACCATGTTTAGTCTTATGTTAAAATGTATATGAATTTACATTTACTTCTACACTGTTAGTTGTAATTTTTGCTAGATTTATATTTACAAATTTCCTAATATGTTTTCAAACACATACTTAATGTAAGCACACGTGTTTACCACACTCAATTCCAATAACTAACTTATAGTGTGTTTAATTTCATATTAGAATGCATGTGTTTAATTTAATGTGTTTTTAGATACATACCAAGTGAATATGACACTTGAGAGGATCCCAACCCCCCCAATGAAAACCTTTATCCATGCGTTCATAAGTTTCTTCCATGCCTTTCTAGTTGGGGCATAATTAACTTTGTAACAATACATGTTCCTATCAACAATGAAGGTCACTTTCTTTCCATCTTCCTTGTACATTGGGTATTTGGCTATACATATGTGAAGGACAAGAAAAGAAAATCAAGAGTAATACAATCACTCACCAATATTTGGTAATGAAAAATAATCCTTTAGGCAAGCTTTATTGATATCCGTACAGTCCACCAATATCCTCTTCTTAATGTTAGCCTTTTAAACTAACAATGCATTTGATTGAAAGCCAAATAAAGTATGATACCTCTATGATCAAGCCAGAGATTATTGGAGTCTTGTACCTTTAGTTTGTGGGTTTCCTCAACATAGAGGGTACACCCTTGTGATCCTACATGCTCTGTAATAAGCCATGTTTTGTGGACCAATACTGATTTGCTTGGCCAGTTGGGTATTTTTACTCGTACCTAATGTAATATTACATTGTTTTAACTTTATTCCTTATTTTATAAAAATAGTAAGAAAATAGTGATGTTTTTGTTATTTAATCATTTGTAAAAAAATTAAAATCAAATAACCCCTTTCAATTCCACAAAAAATTCTTGACCAAGAAATTTTATTAAGCAACTACATAACCCTTCACGCCTAGCAAAGAATAAAGGCTAATCACATGTTGAATGATAAATGTGATCAAAGCCAAGGATGCTCCGAATCAACCTTTGGTGACACCCCAAATCAGCAAACAATGATGAAGCTTCAATGTCCAGCTAGCAATACTGGAAAACAATGTGTTGGAAAGGCCCCATTTTGATAGAGTGTGCAATAAAATTTTTGAAATTTGCAGTTTTAAGGAATGGT